CGGCTCCCCATTCGCAGGGGCCGACACAGCTGCAAAATTCAGGCAACAATTATTGATCCTGAATTTTTTTTACAACTGACTTTTTAGACACAGCTTGGCTGTTCTAGCCTTAATGGAACACTATGGTATCAGGAACATAATCCTGTATTCCCACCGTTATTTTTTCCTACTAACTAATTGTAATATATATTGGTCATCCACCGTGTGACCAATAAGAGGCAGGTTTACTCACCTTTCACCGTGCACGGCCTTGGTTTCACCATGGTCATCTCCCGTGTGACCAACAAGAGGCAGGTTTACTCACTTTACACCATGCACTGCCATGGTTTCACCATGGTCATCTCCCATGTGACCAATAAGAGGCAAGTTAATTCTCCTTTCACCGTGCACTGCCATGGTTTCACCATGGTCATCACCCATGTGATCAATAGGAGGCAGGTTTACTCACCTTTCATCATGCACTGCCCTGTTTTCACCATGGTCATCCCCCGTGTCATCAGTAAGAGGCAGGTTTATTCACCTTTCACCGTGCACTGCCCTGGTTTCACCATGGTCATCCCCCGTGTGATCAATAAGAGGCAAGTTTACTCACCTTTCACCGTGCACTGCCCTGGTTTCACCATGGTCATCCCCCCTGTGATCAATAAGAGGCAGGTTTACTCACCTTTCATCATGCACTGCCCTGTTTTCACCATGGTCATCCCCCGTGTCATCAGTAAGAGGCAGGTTTATTCACCTTTCACCATGAACTGCCCTGGTTTCACCATGGTCATCCCCCGACTCCCCAGTTGAGATCTTCAGTTTTGACAATCTCAGATAGTCCATGCTTTACCATAGGGAAGCATTAGGATGTTAATGTGCATGCGCATCAAATCGCAGTGCCAATCAGCTTCTCCTCATAGAGATACATTGACTCATTGTATCCAGCGTATCCATGTGGGGTGTGGTGGTGCTGAACGTAGGCAAAGATTACAGACTTCATTCAAGTCGTCCGTCTTGTGGACTACATCTCCTACTACGTAATGATCTCACAGCCATAATGCTGGCAACACATCAGGGGAGATGGAGTCCACAACATACGGAGTGCAGAAGGAGGCTTATCCCTGGTCCTACGCAGCCATGTTTACACTGCTCATTCGGCTGGGACAGGCTATAAACCCCACAACCCACTTCAGCTTGCTGTGAGGGGTATCCTATTAGAAAATCCCATTTCTATTAGAAATCTGCACTTTTATTAATAATTAAGGAAACACCTCCCTGACTGCCAATCAAGCAAACAGCCAATGGGTTTTCTTCCTGCTACCGTTCGCTCCTCTGACCTACTTGATGTGACAGGCCTCCTTCTCAGACCTTAGATTGGACAAGCATTCTGAACACCACTCGGCACGCGAAACAGACACGTGCGTGCCCTAGGGCACTGCTTCTCAACCCTCTCCTCAAGACACACCTACCAGTCCAGCGTTTAGGGATTAAACTTCGATGTTTAAATATTTTTTTCTCTCTTTTTCTAGAGTCTAAGGTGTTTTTTTTGTTTGTTTTTTAACAACTTAGACACACCTGGGCAATCCCTAAATCTTGGACTGGTAGGTGGTAGGAGAGGATTGGGGAGCACTGCCCTAGGGGATGGCAGACTGTCAGCCCCTTCCTAATAAAAGGGGAGTGCTTGTAAATGATGTATGTCATAAGATCTGCAGCCTTTGCAAGCTGTTTTCAGATATACGCCAATAAATACATCCATGAAATATATATGTATTCACTGGGTGTCTATCTTCCAAACTTTGTTTTTCATGATTTTTATATTTGATGATTATAACAGTTTAGCTGTAATCACAGGCCAAATTTTACTCTAAATTAGGAATTTGGTTTTTATGTCACTGCAGTCCGAGTTTAATGAATACGTCCTATTCGAGTCACAAGGCAGCGTCTGGGGGCAATCGCTCTGGATTTAGAATTCCACATTCCATACAGGGCTACTCGGACTGAATAACTATGTGAGAATGTTTCCTGTTCAACTAGTCTGGCCTGAAATTGGCACGGTCTGCAGTCCCCAACAATCCATTTTACAGTCAATAGCTCTTTATACACAGATTCCTGAATCCAGAAACTGTGAAACGATGTCATTCTTTATGAATTCCGCCTGAGAAAGAGACACAGCTCACACTGTTTGCAGATTGCTATTAGA